TAAAAAATTTTTTACATCTTACGAACTCTTTTCAACTTCATAACACGCAGCCCTTCAATTAGATTCTAAGTTTCTTTTTCAATCGATCTCCAAGATAAAAAAAAAAGTGAATTTAAGTTCTTTATATTGCATTTTTGAATACCCGGAGATTATTGAAGCATGGATAATTTGCCTTCTCAATGTCAGTGAGCGTATTTCAATAATTATTAAACTTTTCAAAAACATCTCCAAAATTTTTATTCGTTCTGTGACATTCCATTCCTCTTTCAAAATATACATAAAAAAAATGTATTCTTTGAAGAACGATATTTTTATCTATCGAAAAATGGCTGGTATCTTTTCAAAATAAAAATATGGAATGCCCTCTTCGCAACAGGAGAAGCTGCCGGGTTTTTTCATGCTATGCATTACTTAACAGGATTTGAAGCTCATTTTTGTTAAGTGAATGTACACTGGTGTGCAAAACTTAAGCAACAATGTAAAAATTTAGCAGATAGCCATGAAGTTGCAGAAAAGGAGGTCTGGAGATCAGTAGAGGGAACACGTAAGTCAGTAGAAACGTCATGCGTATGCAAATATCAGGAACAAAACGTCAGAAGCGATGTGAGCGTACGCAAAACGCGTGATGTCGGCGCGCGCTGCTCAACAGTAGAATGAAATGAAGGACGGAGACGCAATTCACCATATTCTCTGCAAGTGCCAGTGAGTCAGTTCATGAAATATGGCTAGAAGAAATCATCTGGATGACTTCACACGTGAAGAATGATCGGAAAGCTGGAGGAGGGGCGTACTGTCACCAGTGTAGCTGCAGAGTTCAGAATCAACAAAAGTGTGGTTTCGCGCGCTTGGAAAGCGTTCCAAACCACAGGTACAGCTGTTAGAAAGGTTGGTGTGGCCGCCCGAGGACGACAACTGCAGGGGATGACCGATATATCATCCTGCAGGCGAAAAAAGTTCAACAGCAGTCAGCAAACACCATTTCTCAGAAACTCTGTACAGCAACAGGTCGACAAGTGTAGCGGTTTACTGTGGCCAGACGCCTTCACAAAGGGGGCCTGTTCACCCGCCGTCCTGAACGCTGCCTCCCGTTGAAAGATGGCCACCGAAGCCACCGTTTACAGTGGGACAGAGAGCACAAAAACTGGACAACTGATCAATGGAGTCGTGTTCTCTTTACGGATGAGAGTCGGTTCAGTACCAGAAGCGATTCTCAACGCGTTTTGATTTGGAGAGAGATCGGGACCCGGTTTTATCCCAGTAACATCAAGGAAAGACATCGTTACGGTGGTCCTGGAGTTCTTGTCTGGGTTGGCATTATGCTGAACGGCGGAACTGAGCTTCCCATTTTCGACAGAGGGTCTGTAACCGGGGATCGCTATTGTGAGGAGGTACTTCTTCCCCATGTGCATCTTTTCCGAGGTGCCATTGGCCCAGACTTCATCTTTATGGATGACAATGCACGGCCACATCGCACTCTTGCTGTTGAGGAGCTGCTGGAAAGTGAAGATATCACTCGAATGGTTTGGCCAGCGTGCTCCCCAGATTTAAATCCCATCGAACATGTGTGGGATGCTTTGGGGAGACGTATTGCCACACGCTCACATTATCCGGAGTACAACCAACAACTCAAACAGATGTTGATTGAGGAATGGGCACTCCTATCTCAAGAAATGTTGCACCAGCTGGTTCTGAGTATGCGGAGACGGTGCAAAGCAACCATTGTAGTAAGGGGAGGGCATATACCATATTAAGGAACATCTGCTTGTTGTTCTTCCTGTTGGATAGACAATCATGAGTCACGATACTATGCGTTCAATAAAGCTTGTTTTTGTTTGATTCCATACCGTATGCGTTGTATTCCTTTTTCAGCGCCGATGCTTTCGTCATCCTTTACGTACATAATACTCTCCCTCATTTCAGGATTTCATGTCTCTCAGATGATTTTTCGTGAAGTTATGGCAATAAACCCACCTGTTGCTTAAGTTTTGCACACCAGTGTAGTTCAATACAACGTGATGGAAGCTGTAGTTGGCGTTCAAAGTTCACAAAGCGGAATTGTGTTCACTGCTTGGGATTTAAAATAAAGTCTGTGCTGTATACCTACTAATTGATGAAAAGTGTTAAGAGGAGTCGATACCAACAATGTTAAGTTGGGCATTTTATGTATATTTTTCTCAGAAACTGTTAATTATAATGACTTCAACTTTTGTCTGTATATTAATTAAACTTTTATATTTATACTGAAGTGAGAGTTTTCAAATATATTGTTTAATTTTTTTTTTTCAAAACATGCAACGTAAGAGTTCCGCTATAAATTTTTTGTAAATTTTTCATTTTTTGTTACGATAAGCTCTTTGGCAAAATACTTTGGGAATATCACAAAAGACTCACTTCAGTATATATAGTTACATATCAGTGTAATATGCAGTAAAGATTGCATGTGCATTCATGCAGTAGATTCTGAGAAAAAGATACACGCACTTTTAAGAACATCATTTTGAGACAATTGCATTTTTAATATAAAATCTCATTTCATCACAAAAATTATAAATTACGACATGTATTTGTCCCATTTTATTAAACATTAGCTTCTTCTATATTTATTTTAAGACTTTTTTGTTTCCTATTTTATTCAAATTGCCCCAGAAAGTACATACATAACATTTTTCATTTTTTGTCTAACGAGATATTTTGTAACATTTATATACATCATTTTCCTCAAATTCTGTTTCAATCTTGGAAGAATTTTCAGTTTTGAAGCATTACTTACGTCAAAGTTGACTATAAAACATCATGAATGCATGAATAATTTATCAATACGTGAAAGTAATGATTTGGGAATATGTGGTTATACGACATTACGAAAGCTTTCATTATGGATCTGTATGCTTACATATGTTTACATACTAACAACTTCCTAAAGTATCAGAATTCAAGTTTCTTTATATGTTAACAAGTGATTTCTAAAACAGCCCCCCAAAAAACTGTTCTTTTTTTAAATCTGAAACTTATTTATTTTTATGCATGTAACAAGCTTCTTGCAACGACAATGACAATATGTCTTTTGTAACTTTTTCTCGGAAGCTATTAAACATAAAGACTCAAGATTTTGTCTGCATATTTAATAAACCTTAACTTTAAATTTAAGTAAATTTTTAGAAATAAATTGTTCAGTTTCTTTTTTTTAAAAAAAGATAAGTTTTGTATAGCATAATTAGGAATTTAATAATAATTGAATTTTTTTGTTACATCTGTTTTTTAGCTTAATGCTTTAGAAATATTTAAAAAATTTCACTTCAGTATACTCAAGTATATACCATGCATGCAGTAAATTTAGGTCAGTGATTCCCAAAGTGGTCTATATAGATCCCCAGGGGTCTATGACGAACTGCAAGGGGCCACGTCAGGTAAAAATAATTTGGGGGTCCATGAGGTGTAAATGGAAGTCTAAGATAGTAACTCTCATTAAACTAGATCGTGACTGTTTTTTTTAAAGGAAATTTAATCAGGTGGAAACCAAACTTAAAAAAAACTATTCAACAGATTTATTTACTAAATTCAACGAGGTTAATTTGCGGTTATAAGGTGACATCATAAACTTTTTAAAACAAGGACTACATTTCAGTCTTCCTTGCCAGAATTAAGCTATGGACGCGGTAGCCGAGTGGTATAGGTATAGGATCGTGGCTTGCCTTGTCACGAGTTCGAGCCCAGTACCACTAAAGGCCCGCCGTATAGGGCAGCGATGCACGTTAAATCTGTCGAGAGCTGAAACGTCCTCCCATTGATGTGGTAGTTAGGAGAGGGGGGTACCATCTCAGGTGTCGTCCACGTCACTTGACCACGGTTCAAAATTACGTGGTCCGTCGCCAAAAGCCCTCGTGTAGCTGAACAGTGCGACGTTAATATTCAATCAAGCCAGAATTAAGCTAAAGGGGTGTGATTTTCCCAGTTTCTCAAATGTCACAAGCAATGTGCCAGAAAAAAAAACCGTTTTTACCTACGTTCAACATTAAAATGCCCTTCTTTTAGAGTTTGCAACTAGGTTTGAGTATCGTAATACCACAGCAGGCAATGAATTCATATAGTCACTTTGAAAAAAAAATGTCAGTTTACAAGAATTAAGCATTAGGAATAGGCACTAACAAAGATCTTAAAGTATAGTTTAGAAATGGATGTCAACAATTTTGTCCTTAAAAAAATACTCCTGTTATCAATTTCATATTATGGAATATATTGAAAAAGTTTTAATTATTTTTCCAATTGAGAAGGAGTTTCATTGCGCTTGCCAATCTCCAAAACAAAAAAAAGAAAGAAGAAAAACTGGACACTGCTAACCGAGGAGATATTTAGGGTTAAAAATGACAAGATTGATGCCAAATGTAGAAAGTTTGTTATTACAACCCCAGATTCATCCCACAAAAAGCGTTTGTTTGTTGTTCAGTTATTTTATGCATTAATTAAATTTTAATCTAATTAATTAACGTGAGTTTTCTTGAGTTTCAAACACTATACTTCACTACAGTCAAAATTTAAATCTTTTAAGCAAGTAGCTCTATACCTGCTGTCAAAAACACATTTAAGTGAATGAATTTGCAAAAATTTAATATTAGGTAAGCAGGGGTCTACCTCAAACCTAAAAATCTGTCGAGAGATCTATGAGGCAAAAAAGTTTGGGAATCTCTGATTTAGGTAAAATAACACAAACAATTTTAAAAATAAAATTTAAAAAAAAACAGTAATTTTTCCTTTCCTAATATTAGTTCATACATTCCCTATATATATCATTTTCAAATTATTAATTGTTAATAAAATACTTTTTTTATTCAACCACTTAAGTTGGAATACATTTTTTTAAACTTGTACTAGATGACACTTAATGTTAATACAGTTTTTTCAAATGTTAATTTATTAATTCTATTCAATTAATGAATAAATAGTAACAAAGAAACAAAAATAATAGTTTAAAATCATATATAAGAAGAAAAGTCGCTTGTTCTGTCCCTGTAGCTTAATGGTTAGCGCATTGGATCTCTAATCTAAAGGTCGTGGGTTCGAATCCCACCTGGGATGGTTTAATTTTTGACAATGTGATTTCCTTTTACTATTTTTTGGAACAATACAATTTAATTAATGAATAAATAGTAACAAACACAAAAATAATAGCCCAACACCCTATATAGAAAGGAAAATGTTAAATTTTTCGAGGCTCAAAGTTCTTTCGTTGGTGTGGCGAAGAAGTTCAGAGAGAAGGTGCCAGAGTTCAGGTGTTATCCTAGTTACTTATGGTTCAAAATTATGAAGTCCATCGCTAATAGCCTTCATGTTGCTCTAGAGTGCTATGTTAATAACACTCACTCAGCACGTAACAATTCTTCCATCTGAAAACTTCTCTTTTGGGAACAGGATTTCTAAACATTCAATGTGTGTTCAATAATTCCCAAATCCTCCCCCTGCCTTTTTTTTTTTTCCTTTGCCTCTGGCAGTTATAACTTTTTCTGTTAATTGATCCATTTTTTTAATTAACTTTTCCTTTCCAAGCAACACCTGGAGTCATTTTGAACCACGATCACCGTTTTGAAGACGGCATCTGAGCTGGCACCCTACTCTCCAAACTTACACGCCACGCCAACGTGCATCACAGCAATTTCTTCGTGGTACCAGGATTTCCACCTACAACTCGACAACGTCGCGCCCATGACCCCTCTTCTCTTTCTTCTAGGAGGGATTCTGAGGCTTATTCATACGTTTTTTTGTTTCATAACCCATCAGAGATAATTACTACTTTTAGTTTCTTTACTTTCAAACATAAAAATCTGTAGGGCTTCGGTGTCATCCTCGTCACATGAATGGCAAGGTTCGTCTTCAATAATCCTCGTGTTGCTTCACAATGCGACGGTCATAACGAAGCTTCCATAGCATCGAAATCCTTTTCTGCTTGCACACCAATCTTTGTACAAATCTGGACTATTATATAGCATTCAACACTATGGCTACAACTGCCCTTCTTAATGACTGTCATTAAATAAAAAAAATTGTTATTAGTTTTTATTAAAAATTAATGCGAATGGATTAAAATGATGCGAAATAGACTTTAAAAACCCTCCAGGCAAGGATCAGAATGATTTTTGTTTTTAATTTAACTTTTTGAGCTTATTATTTTATAATGAAATTTAAATTCCTGCTTCATTAACTTTTAAGAAAGGTACTTAGATATGTTTTGGAGAGTTTATAAAGATAAATTTAGTTGAGGTTACATAAACCCCAAAGCTAGCGCGAATTGCTTTAATTGCATCATTCGAGTTCCTTTTTTTATATAAATATGGAGGGAAAAGTAATAATATATAAAACTAGAGATTTTTTAAAGTTGTTTTTGTAGAATTTACTGTATCAAATTCATATGAATATTTTTAGTGTGTTTTTTAAAAAATGAAATTTTCCCAAAATTTTTGCACAAAAAACGGGTATTTCCAAAGCAATACAGTCAAATTCAATGAAATTTATAACATATATGTTATGACCCCTTTAGAGTGTAACAAACCGCAGGTTACATTTAATCGTTAAAATCAAATTTAAAAATGCTTATAAAATATTTATTTCTTAAAATATTGTTTACCCTGCGGTTTGTAACACTTCAGATAAATCAAGAAGTATATCAATGAAATTAAAATTGCATTATATGTCGAATGCATTTTTATTTATCACGATTTTCATAACTGAAAATTGACTCAAAATTGCTTCTTTATTAAAATTTTGCTAAAATTTCATAATTTTTTTAAACCAAAGTTATTATTGTTATTTATTTAATAATTCAGATTCTTTAAGCCTATTTATTTTCTTTAAAACAATAAAATTCTTGTGAAAATCAACTTTTAAAAAATTGGTCTCCCAACCTAGTCTCGGGTTTCTTTAAATGGGCATCCTTATTTTTACCTTCAAAAAGTTCCAAAAATCCTCGACTTATGCATCGAAATTTATTTTATTATAAAATGATGTGGATTCAATGCATTTCAAGTCCTCATATGGAGACGTTACTGATGTTAGAAAAATTAGCTCAATTGGCGTACTGAGCACTCGAAAGGAGCTCAAAATTACGAAATGTGTGTCTCCATACAGCAGAATAAGTTCCCGAAAACAAATAGATGCATAATTACATTAAAGGAGCCGTTTCAGCAAATCCCGCGTTTTTTAAAAAAAACTTTCAATAATAAAAAGAGTTGTTGCAATGCTCTCGAGAGAATCGAAGCCCAAACTTTCTGGAAGAGAGGGAGCCTCCATAAATCCCGTTAAAAAGTAGTTTGGTACCTATTTAAAATATTCATCTTGGGACGGTGAAGAAAATGAGAGCCATTAACGCCGAGCGATCATTTCCGCGTTCTCTCGGCGAATTGCGAATGAAATGACGGGCACAAATAAACCATCTGTTTGGGATGGTCTTTCCGTTCCTCTCTGACCAGAATTCGACTAACAGTGTGAGCTCATATTTTTTTTAATATATTTAACAAATTTTATATGTATATATTTCCAACTTCCATTATTTAATGAAAATACTTCGTTTTTTTCACTTCCCTATCTCCTTTGTTTTTGAATAACAGAGGTTCGTTTGAATCCAATCCGCATTTTATTCACTTATGAATTTGTTATTGGAAAAAAAAGACTCATTTTAAAATAGTAAATAGGGTATTGTAATAATTATCAATAGTTTACTAGATTCATTTGGCTCCAAACTTTTTCCCCCAAATTTTGTTCAAAAAAAAAATACATGTCCTTAATTTAAACGTTACTAAATTTCATTTTGGTTGTAGCCACAAGTTGTAGTTATTCTATTGAATGATGCATTATTGTGGGAAAAATAGTATTGACAAAGTATTTTCGTTTTTGAATCATGGTCCTCTCCCACCTCGCTAACGTTAGAACTCTGCACACAATGGCCCCCAATGCATCACTTGACTCAGGTTATAAAATATCTATGTGTGCACAGGATTATATTCATATTTATAATATGAAAACACGTTTATTTTTATCTACTTTAAATTGAAAACAGATGCTAACTGTATTTCATCCAACAAAACCAATAGTTGTATTTTTTTCTCCAGAAATATTTAATTTTAGTTAAAAATCAAAGGTTTAAACGTTTTATCTTTAATTTTTTTAATCAAAATTTTAAGTGAACGAAAGATATCTCGATTTAAAATTTATATTCAAAGATCTATAACCAAAACTTCGATCAATTTATTTCTTATAAATAATCTTTAGAAAACAAATCGAAAAAGAGGGAAGTAATGGATATCAGATTTCCTAGAAAGGGACATGCGTAAGTATCCAGCTTTTCCTCTGCGATCGTTCCTTTAGAATCTAGTTACGTGCCGCAGTCGTTAGAGGACTTATCTGTTGCCCTATGTTACCGCGCTTGGCGGGAACAAAGGGATTTCTGGAGTAATGGTGCGCGTGACAATCGCTCATAACGATCCGAAAAGGCTTCCATGACAAATTTAAAGTTTCGTTCGACCAGACATTTCGCAAATGGCACTATCGATTCCACGTTCCTAATTCAACTCAATGGAACGTTGGAAAAGTCAGCGATTCAACAATTGAAGGGAACGAACATCCAAATCGTGATAACTTTCTGAGCATTAAACGTGCGAATCCTTCAACGTACACGTTGTGTGACATGAGTCTGTACTTAAACTTACAATAAATTGTTGTTTAAAATTAATTTTACATTCTGAGACACTGTATATCAATTTCTTAATTTGAGATTCTCCTTGAAGAATTATAATGATTGCTGAATAAAGAGACCACTACAAAAAGAACTTGTGTTCTGCCCTTGCTAATTGGCATCCATCTGAATTTTACTATAATATGTCCACACACACACATAAGCATGGAATACTTTCGGTTGAACAGGTAGCCCTGTTGAACTGTTGCAAGCAGTGGTTTCCGAGCTTACTGCTCCCACGGAGCCCTTTTTATATCAAAAATTTGGCCATGAACCTCCAAGTGAAACAACCCTATTTGAATGAATAATAGAAAAAAATTACAAATTTAACTTAGATGTTCTGAATGGTAACTATCAGAAGTAATATTTTTTTTTCAAAAGTTAAATGTACTTTAAACTATCGAAAGGTCTTTTTTTTCGGACGAGATGGTTATCTTTGTAACAATACAAAAAAAAAAAATACTGCTTTGTGTTCAAAACCAAGGTTACCTTTATTTAACTGTATCGAGATCAAGCACAAAACAAAACCGTTGACTAGATGCGCTACTCTTTTGACTGCATGCAACGGACCCCATTTCAACCTTCCTAGACAACTGCACCCGCGATCGGCCCGAATTTCACTGTGCGGCGCTTGACATTACTTGTATACAGTAGGGCACACAGGAATTTTTCAAGGGGTTGAAAGTTCACCATTCTTGTATCATGCTCCTTTTGATTTTGTCGATTTTCTGGAACACAGTAAAAAACTAATTATTGAATAAATAATTAGCATTAATTTATAAAATTAATCATTAATAACAAATAACTAAATTTTACGTACTTATACTTAGAATTATAATCAATCGGAAAAAAAATCAAGGGCTTTGGGAGGGGTCCGGGGGGGGGG